AGGCTTTTGCATCTGAACTCTTCATACATATATACTCAACACACACACACACACACGCATGGTTTACTATCTTTGTTGGAACTCTCCATAGACGTAATGGTTTTTATACTGTACAAACTGTATATTCTATCCCCTTACACTAACCCTATCCATAAACCTAACCATCCCAGGAAACATTCTCCATTTTTACATTTTCAAAAATAAATAAATAAATAAATAAAAATAAAAAATCAATTTATAAGTGTTTACACCCATGGGGACCTCAATTTAGGTCCCCACAGTGACTCAAGTCCCCATGAGTCTGTGTGCATTCAGGTTTGAGCCCCCACCTGTGATAGAAAACATGTACACACACACACACACACACACTCAGATCACGTACAGTCTTAAATATAAAGGTACTAAAAGTTTTGTTGCAGTAATACAATACAACAGTGGTTCCCAATCTTGGTCCTGGAATACTGCGCATTTTAGATGTTCCCAAAAACAACACCTGATCCAACTCATCAGCTTGTTACTAGAGACTTCAAAACGGGCAGTCTAAAATGGTTAAAGAGTCAGAGATTCATTCTGGTAACCCGAAGGTTGTGGGTTTGATTCTCAATACGCACCTAAAGCCTCGTTCACAACGCCAGCGATTTTGTCGCTTTGTGTCGCTAGGCTCTGTACTGTGATGTCGCTTGTGGGCGTTCGTAGTGCTGTCGCTCTGATGTTATTGGTAGACTGCACGTCTGGCCAATGTGGCCATATCTATACAAAAGACCATCACAAGTGATATATAATTTTTAATTTGACTGGGAATAAATGACTTTTAAGGCTAAAAAGAAACCATATGCTGTTGGGAGAGTGTTTTTATATCTCCACAGCTGTGTTCAGTGGATTAAATCATTTACTAGATCAACGATCGATCGAATGAACAAATTAAACTCACTCATACTGTCACAAATTATAAAAACGTCATTCGAATTTGACAATCAATTTTCTTGTCCCTAATAGTCAACGTAATGCAGGGGAAATTGTAAAATGAACTGCAGCAGTGCTAAACGTGCATCATAAAATTACAACACTCGAACTATAACGTTAAATGAAAGAATTAAACTCACTGAGACTGTCGGCAGTTTCTTTTCCATGCATCATTTTATTATCCATGTATGTGGTTACAGTCAAATCATATAAAACAGTGACATCGTCCTCAAACTCTTTCTTTCTGTCTTGCCTGCCCTGCACTCAAGACGGTGACGTGAGCTCCACCGAAAGTCTTCTTTCCTATTGGTTGTCGCTCGCGAAAATCGCTTCTCATTTGCATAAAGTTAAAAATTCTCAACTTTTGTCGCTTGTCTCTTGACACGCCCACATTCTGTCGCCAACGGTCACTAGTCATGTTTCCATCCACTTGTCAATCGAATTATCTGAAATTCGGTTAAAAAACTCATGCGGATAAAGCTGGTGAAAGTGTGTTTCCATCCAACGGCTTTAAAGCGAATAAAAACCTGTACGTAATGACGTCACATGCTGTTTTGCGATCAAATTGGTATATCGAATTGATTTGAGACATTTTAAGGTGTTTCCATTTATTTTCGCACTAAATCGAACAACATTCAAGCAAACTTTTGCGAACAAAGTTTTGTTAGACAAAACGGATCGCGCCATCTACCAAAAATGATCAATATTTCAGAAGTTGAAGGCTAATAATGCTTATGTGCCAGCTGATAGCGACATATGAATGGGATAATGTATGCGAGGTATATCGATCAAGAGAAAATTCGATGAGACCGAACGCATTTCATTTGAGTCGATTTTCATGAAATTTCATCGAATTTTACTGTTTCCATAAGGCTTTTTTCATTCGATATCACTCAATTCGGATAAAAACGTGTCGATGGAAACATGGCTACTGTCGCTCGTGTCGCCGGATGTCGCCAGCGTTCCATTGAAATGAATGGGATCTTGTCGCTTTGTCGCTGCGTGTCGCTGGCGGTGTGAACGGGGCTTAACCCCCAATCGCTCCCCGGCCCCAACAGCAAAACTAACTTGTATGGTTTAAATGCAGAGGACAAATTCTGAGTCCGGGTAACCATACTTGACCTTTACATGTCGCTTTCACTTTGAAGACCTGAAATATGCGTGTTAGATAAGAGAGACATCAAAAATGTGCAGTTTTGGGGGTATTTCAGGACCAAGATGAAGAACCTCTGCCATAGAAGAACCATTTTAGGTTCCCAAAAGAACCTTTTAGTGATCAGTTCTTAATAGAACCTTTTTTATTAGTGTGAAGAAAATTTTTATGATCTAAAGATTTCAATTGAAAAGAACCTTGAACATGCATGGAACCTCAGGGAACCATGGATACTAAAAAAGAACATTCATTTTGGTTCATTTTCACACATTATTGATTCCTTATTGGGTCCTCAGAGAGAAGGGTTCTTCGTTGTCCTAATCTACTTTGCAACCTCTATTATTGGTTACCCTAAGAATGCGATTTGGGGTTAAGAAAATTGGGGAGATAAAGAAGAGAACGAGAGCTATAAGAGGGTAAAAACAGAGAGTGCAGAGAGAAAAGCGAGAGACCGAGCAAGAGATAAAGAGAGAGAGAGAGTCCATTGGCGTCACAGCTCATAAGGTCTTGATGTGAGTCACTCATGTTTACCTGCGTCAGATACAGCAGTGTTCCATCTCCTGAGCACCTGAAGACCCTCAACCCTTCCCGAGTCCTTCCCTCTGCTTTTACTGCTGTCCCTCTCCTTTAATATCCTCCGCTGCCAATAATCAGCCTTTTTCTGCATCTATCGCTCCATCCATTCTCCATCTCCCAGTAATCACGCCTACGTATCTGCATCCATCACAGCCTAAAGCAGGCAGCCCTAAACAGCTGGAATCAGTTTTTCCATACGATCCAGAAGATCTACCAGCCATCAACGTAAGGTTTGATCCACATCGTAGCTTATTGTGGCCGAGAACCACCCACTAAGACAGGAACAGCTGTCTGATTAAACTGACCAATCACAGTTTTAGGATGCATTTATTTGATGCACAACATTTTCCCATTAGCAATTGAAACTTTTTTACAAATATTTTAATTACCTGTATTTTAAAATAACACACACAAGGGCTGACAAGCAATTAATATGAGATCAATTAATTGGCACATTGTGTGATTAATTACATGAAATAATTTTGGGGGGGTAATTTCTCAGCCAAATTTTGTGTGTGATTTAAATTTTTTAAAGTCATTATTGTTTTAAACGAGAAAAGCATCAAATAAAAAAAATAGCTTTAGAAACATATTTTATTTGATTCAACATAGAATTTATTACACAAACTTTTAGGCAACAAGATTTTTTTCTTTCTTTAGAAGGTGCATCTGAATTGGAATTTAGATAAATTGACAGACCAAAGCAGTTTGGTAACCCAAGATTCTTCAAAAGACCTTCTAAGTCCCCTGTAGTCACTAACTGTATCCCTCATCTTTGATTACCTATAGATTTAATCATCTATAACTCATCTTTGATCACCCTACACCCTTGCCTCATTTAGTATACACGGTTCTATGAATAGGCAAATTAGCCCTGCCTCCACTCAAACTCAGATCCACTCGTTGATCTGATTGGTTACAAGGTAGTTTACGAAGTCAGAAACACCAGCGATTTCAATGAGACTGTCTTTGGTTCACTGAAAATAGTAAATACAAAGCAATGGTGCTGACTTATGAATTTGCACATGGTTTGTCTTAAAGTATATTAAATAGATCACATTAACATATAAACAACATTAAAAACTTGATTTACACCACAGGGGGACTTTAACAGAAATTTCATTTTTTGGCTATACCCGAAAAGAAATTAGATATTTTTTTTAATGAAGTGATATTCTAAATAAGAAACTGAAACTGCCAATAGGTAGCGATACATGTCTAAATGAGTAAGTCAGTGAATCATTCATTCATTCCATTCGTTCAAAACACAGATTCATTCAGAACAGACAATATTGTGTCCAAAATATAACCCAATATTAGCTTCTTATTTATTGAACTTGTATAAAATCAATATCACATTCATACTTGTGCTATTTGGGACAAACACAGCACTTGTGTGACATTGTGCTCGTTCCTCTTGTGATACCGTAACTATACCATATGATATAAATATAAGACAAAATAAAATAAAAACACGGCATTTTTTCTCTAATATCTTGAATTTTAGGGGCATTCTAACTGCATTTTATAGGCTCCATCACAGTGAGTTGTTGCCCTGTATCATGTTCGTCACCAATGAACTTTATGAAATGTAAATGTCTGACCAGGGCCGTCAAATATTTTTACCATAATCGACAGCCCTAATAACAGTGTTGTATTACTCGTGACTCGAACTCGTCTCGGAATCGGTCTCGAGACCATATTTTAATGGTCTTGGTCTTGTCATGGACTCGTGTGCATTTGGACTCGGAATTGACTCGTACTCGAATTTTTTTTTTTTTAGGACTCTGACTTATTCCCGAGTCCACTCGAGTTCAATTCAAAATATTTTTCATGATTATTAATGTATGTTAATAAAATATTTCTTTAAATTGATTCACACGCCCAGTGATTGGTGATTTTCTAGTGCGAAACTGCGCATGACAAATTGTAATAAAATTACTTTTAACACCACCTACTATGTGGCCTTTTTACCCTAAACTGATCATATTTTTTAAACTCTAAGTAAATTCAGTATTAAAAAAAAGGATTTCTCTAAGTAAATAAAAGTAAATTAGGTAATCAACCCTCACTGGTCTCGGACTCGACTCGGACTCGACTCTCTCTGGTCTCGGTCTCGACTCGGACTCGAGTGAGGTGGTCTCGACTACAACACTGCCTAATAATATATATTAATATATATATATATACACACACAACTGTGTATAATATATTATTTTATAACCAATCAAGCCTTTGAAACTGAAAAGCTGGCCAGATGATTTTGAGAAAGCATCTGCCAAACAACAAATTCAGTCACACACATTACCTGTTGGGTCAGCGTGTCCCAGGGTCCCTGTTGTAGTCTCTGTCTATAGTTCGGATGAACATTGCTCCACACCTCCTCAAGAGAGAGAGGATTCCCATCTGTAATGAGAACAATGTTTTCTAATCTGATTACAGTCCGTATAAGTGATCACTTCAAAATGGTTGATGCTTGCGTGTGCATGATTGCTAACTTGCTCAATAACAGCTCCAAAAATGTTTACACGGCAGCCTTTCATTTATTTACAGCACAAAGTCAAACTTGTTGAGCACAAGAGCAAGTCGCCGTTCTGCCTGCTAAACTCAAAACACTCCTGTTGAGAAGGGATCTCAGTGTAAATGTTGAGTCTGTTTTTGCAGCACACATAAAACCAAACTTTGAGAAAGCAGAACACAGAGGGTTCTGAAATACACACACACTGATAAGGGAAGCAGACAGCATATAAACAAGACTTTGCAGTTTAATGATAGAAATGCAGTGAGAGAGAACGTGGTGTACCTAACGTAGAGGCTCTGAAATAGAGGACGGGGATCTGATAGCTGCAAGAATACAGAACGTGGTATTCATAGCGCAGCACAGCATGAATTTCACATACTGCCTGAACTCCAGCCGTTTCATCCTCAACGTTTGCCTAGAAAACAAGACGGAGAAAAATGTAGAAAGTGAGAGATTCATGCCATTCCATGAAATAGATGCAGCCATAAATGCACGGGAGAAAAATGGATGCGGATTAATATCAAGTCTCAAATTTTGAGACAACATTCTATGTTGAAGGATTAGTTCAGTCAAAAATGAAAACTCAATCTCTTGTCGTTACAAACTCGTATAAATTATTTCAGTCCATAGAATGTTCACACCTCTCATTGTCATACACAGAAGCTGTATTTAAAACTTAGCCGGCAAGGATACATTTTTATATATTTATTATTTGATACATTTACATGATATTTCACACTTAAACAGGTTCAGTGCAGCTAGTATTAATGAATTTGATCGTGTATGATATTTAATCATTATTGTTAATACTAGTTATATGATAATATAAATATTAACTATTATGTATATTATATATCATACAGGATATTTCACATTGTTATTAAAGGACAACTCCGGCGCAAGAATGAACCTTTGGTCTAATTACACATTGGTACATAGTCAACCGTTCTCTGAGATTTGTTTTCATGATAATCGAATGTAAAGAGTTTTATCTCTAAAAACTGTTTAGCTTATAACGCTAGTATATGGGGCATAGAGTAATGAAAATAAAATTCGCTAGTTAATACCACTAACAAAGCTCAAAATAGCCCAACACTAACATGGTAGCATAATCAGGGTCCCTACATGCAAACCGAAGCATTGAGAACGTTGTAAGTAACACAGACCGTTTAATAAGAAGATATTTTATAAAGACAGTCCACTTTGCGAATACAGGCAGGAGCCATCTTTGGAAAACAGTCTCGAGCAGTCGATCCACGAACGCCGAGCGTGCGCTTTAATATTTTAAGATCAAATTCATTAATAGTAGCTAGTTAGGTTAGTACAGCATCAAATTGATCAAAAGCAATCGTTATAGAAATTTTTCATGTCAGAAAAGTTTTGTTCTTCTGAACTTTCGGTTTTTGACAAAAAATACTAAGCAGCACAATCGTTTTCCAAATTAAGAATAATAAGAAATACTTCATGAGCTTGATAGCAGCATGTTAGACATTGTTATTGACAGGTTTTGGAGCTCAACGGCATCCCAGTTCATTTTCATTCTATAGACAAAAGTCGCCAGAGTATTCTCCTAAACTCTCCTTCTGCGCTCCAAAAGACAGTCATTCAGGTTTGGAAGACGTTTTCTTTATTGGGTAAACTATTCTCATACAACTTCTTGCCACAGAAATCCTAATTCTATTTAAACCGAACAGGCTTTCCACCTGCAAGAAGTCATGAATGGAGCCATATCGCATATCTGATCAATGGTACATGAGCAGACTTGTCATAAACCCTGAGAAAAGTGATGCGGATGCCAAACCCAAACGTACATCCACACCACCCAGCCATCGACATACGCAAGTGATTCATAGACCAGCATGTGACTTCATTCTTCTTTCCATAACTTGACTGAGGACCATGAGACCTCCTGAACAGTCCATGTGGGCAACAACACGTGTTTACCTTTTTGTTTTTTTCTCTCGCATCCTTCATATATAGGATGTTGTTGAGATGTTGAGGGAGTTTATGCATTCCACCCTTTATGTTGTGGAACATGACTAATGGTATCATGCACCCTCGAGCGGGTCCGTATTTACAAATGTTGTGCAGACTATTAACCAAGGTTAGCTCTCTTTCATTGGGCGGTGCACACTGGATTTTCTTGCTCCTTCTCGACCTGCAACCCCTGGTGATTAATTGGCTGTCAGAATGCGGTTTAGTGCACTGCAACTTGCACAAACACAGATAAACAGGAAGGGATGCCGTCATCCAAGGGAGGAGTCAACAACCATCCATACAGTGCTGGGACTAACTACAACTAAAAGCAGCGCAGCAACTAACTTACTGGAACTACACTTTATAGATATTACGACTACATCACACTAGGTTCTCCTGTAACAAGCAACTTTTACCAATAGACCATTTCACAAGATGTAAACAACACTAGTCCAAAAGCACTTCCTGTTTCAGTTTTTAACACTACATATAAGCTGGGATAAAATACAACCAACAGAACATTTAAAACTGAATCAAAAAGTTAAACAAACATCTTTAAGATGTTTTCTGTACATGTGAAATAAAGAAAACAGTTACAAACTGAAACAGGAAGTGTTTCTGGACCAGTGTTGTTTACATCTTGTGAAATGGTCTAGTGGCAATGTAACAACAAAAATCCTGGACTGTCAGGTTTGTTTTAGTAAATTGGTTAATTTGTACAGCTGTAAAGACAATGTAAATAAAACAATTCAAACAAATTCCCTGATTCGAGTCTGTGCAGTATTTTGTAAGAAACTCTTAGTGTTTTATGCCCTGCTAGAAATACTGCTTTGATTAAAGTATACATAATGTTATATTACTGTTATTATTATTAAAAAATATATTGCATTCTTATATACTTTAGCCTCAGTGTTGCTACCGTGAATTTGTCCTTAAATATTTTATCAATAATAATAATAGTAATATAATATACTTTTATTTTGCACATTTAAAAGATACTGCACCCAAATATAGCTTATATAGCCTAATATAGCACACACAAACACACACACAGACACACACACACACACATATATATATATATATATATATATATATATATATACACACACACACACATATCTTATATATATATATATATGAAGAGTTCAGATGCAAAAGCCTCTAAATGCCATTTGAAATTTTCTTCTTTAATGATGATTTTTATCAAACTTGTATATTTAAGTTCAGTAATTTCACTTAAACAACAATTAATAGGTAATTATCATTCCCATTTAAGTGAAATCACTGAACTTAAATATACAAGCTTGATAAAAGTGATCATTCTAGAAGAAAATTTCAAATGGCACTTAGAGGCTTTTGCATGTGAACTCTTCATATATATATATATACACACACACACACACACACACACACATATATATATATACACACACACACACACATATACATATATATATATATGAAGAGTTCAGATGCAAAAGCCTCTAAGTGCCATTTGAAATTTTTTTCTAGAATGATAATTTTTATCAAGCTTGTATATTTAAGTTCAGTGATTTTACTTAAATGGCAATAATAATTACCTATTAATTGTTATTTAAGTGAAATTACTGAACTTAAATATACAAGTTTGATAAAAATCATCATTAAAGAAGAAAATTTCAAATGGCATTTAGAGGCTTTTGCATCTGAACTCTTCATATATATATATATATATATATATATATATATATTAGGACTGGGCAAATCCAAAATATCCAAAATAAAAGTTTGTGTTTACATAATATATGTGTGTGTATTGTGTATAATTATTTTGTATCTAAAAAATTAATGCACATGCATGTATAAATTTAACATTTTTGTATTAACATATGAAATATTAATATTTATATTTAATATTAATGATGTATAAATATATACATACATTATACAGTATATACATGAAAATATATCTTAAATATATACACGCCTGTGTGTGTATATTTATATATACAATATAATTATACACACTACACAAACAAATATTTATTGTAAACACAAACTTTTTATTTTGGATGTGATTAATAGCGATTAATCGTTGCCCAGCCATATATAAGTCAAATTCATTAATAGTATACACTGATGTATAGATGTATATAAAATTCAAAAAAAATATCATCATCATCATCATTATCAATAATAATAATAATAATATATATATTAGGCCTATATTTATAAATATTTCCAAATTTATATAAGAGTGCAATATATATAATTTATTTTATAAACATTTCAAAGATATTGCATATATTGGTTAGCTTGTATCATTTATAATAAAAGGTCGTTGAGCACTCCTAAATGGCACCTGTGATGTGATTTCAGTCACATGGTAGCGGCTTTGAGACGCTATGACATCACCATGGCCTTTGCGGTCCACACTGATATGTGCAGGTTTAATTAGCGAAAGTGTCTGAGAGACAAGTTGGATCACCAGAGGCGGTGGCTGTATCCCTGGCAAGTTCAATGCAGGCTCAAGGATTCTTCACGCATCCATGCCTGCACTGATAACATCTCCTCCCTCCCATACAAGCGCAGTCTTGAGAGACACAATACTACTGTTTCACATCCGACGTCTGTCAGAAGAGTTTGGAAAGAGGGAAGGCAGGTCAAATAAACAACGACGTCATGCTTTTTCCAAACGGTACCAGCAGTGAAAGGTAAAATTCCTCACCAAGAGGGTGTAAAATAATGTGCGAGATGATGAGGAGTTAAAAGAGAGCGCAAACATGCAAGCAGAAAAACGCATTAACTTTCAGGCAGGAACTCGTTTAGCAAAGCGAATATTCACAGCTCTCATTCAACCTTTGCATAACTGACTCTTCGACTGCATTTGGAATTCAAATAAAGGACAAAAGTTCAGGCGTCTGCACAACACGCTTAAAATGCTCAAAAGGTCAAGTTTAAAAAGGGCCGTTTATTAACTCTGAAGCGTGTTTCTAGCAACAACAACTGGCATCCGCCACCGTTTGTTGTCATTCAAATGCTGCCGTGTTTACGTTCGAGCAGGTGTACAGACATAACGGTGCAATCGCTAAACGAGACACCTGCTCAACTCCACAAACACACACAAGCAACGCAGAGGGCTGTAAATAGCATCTTCTAAAGAGGATCTAACAGAGCCATGAGCTCAGGTATACACTTTATATGCGCTCCGTTTTTCACTGTCAAAAGGAAGATCAATACTGGACGCGCAATAGCAGAGTAGAAGACGTTCCCCCTTGCTTACCTGAATACCAGCATTTGGCTGGGTAATTTCAGAGGATGATGAAGGATGGACTCTTTCATTAACCTAAATAAGCCCTAATTACAGGTTTAATTATCCTAGTAATTCCGTTTACATTCTTCGCACTTAAAAGATTAAAATACCTTTTGCTTCTGGGTGCATCTCTTGAGGAATAA